TGAACAAGTGCGAATTCTAGAAATACAAGTGCTCAAATATTCATTGAAATATCTAGAAAAGAGACTTAGTCTGAATAGTCTCAAAATTAGTTGGAGAGAGATACAATTACCTTTGTATTTGTAATTGTAAAAAGAGTATAGCTGTGTGCAAAATACTCTAGTGAGTGTAGCTGTCTGCAAAACAGTCGTAGTTGCTAAGTGTAGCTGTGTGCAAAACACTTAGTTGGCGTTGAGTATAGCTGTGTGCGAAATACTCGTAGTTGAGTGTAGCTGTGTGCGAAACACTTGAATTTGGGTGTAGCTGTGTGCAAGACATTCAGAAGAAGTGCTTGTGTAGCACTTATTCACTATTGCAACTGTGTGTGGAAAATAGTGAATTACTCCTAGAAGTGAATGGAGTAAATTGGACTAGGAAGATTACGCCACTTCCGAACCATTATAAATTGCCTCTCTCATTTACATACCGCACTTACATAATTCGCTTTATTTATTTATTATCCGACTAACCCGTTTACTATTCACTGTCTATCTTAAATCTTTCGGGTTTAGTATGTTCTCACGTATGCATTTAACTCAAACTTTCCATGCTTAACATTTGAATTATTCTAAGCAAGTTTGATGTGTTGCATGTGACATTTGTCATACGGTTGACGTGACACGAAATCTTATTTATAATCTTGAATATTATTGTTAAATATTGAGTGCACCATCTCCTTTAAATATTCAAGATATTCATGTCACCCACTCACATCATCTGAGCTTATCCTACACGTGCATGTGATTCAAATTATTGATTGGGCATAACTCTTTACACATATTTATTCCGCTATGCAGTTCAAGGTGAACATTTCTCTATCTACTTGTTACTTAGAGTTGAAGTTACCAAAGAGTTATTTAATTTTTGAAAAAGCTTAGAAAGTCGGGACCAACAGAATTCTATTTGAAATTGTTTTCATGAAGCAACCACCTGGTTATATTGATGCTCAGTATCCAAATCACATTTGCTTGCTAAAAAGGTCTCTTTACGGATTAAAACAGACACCTAGGGCTTGGTTTAATCGTTTGCACACATTCTTACTATCTATTTGTTTTGAAGGATAAAAAGCGGATGTATCCTTGTTTTACTACTCACAGGGATTTGATTGTGTATATCTATTAGTTTATGTGGATGATATACTTATGATGGGAAGTAATCAAGATCTAGTTACTCGGTTAGTGTCAAAACTTTCTACTGCATTCAAAATTAGAGATCTTGGTGAACTTGGAATTTTTTTCTTGGAATTGAGACAGTTAAATGCAATGATGGAATTTTTCTTTCACAACAAAGATACATGAATGACATTCTAAAATGTGCTGGAATGGCAGAATGTAAAGAACTATCTACTCCTATTTCTACTTCGAAAAATGTGGTCATTGATACAACATTGTACGATGATCCTATACAGTACAGGAGTTTGGCTAGTGCATTGCAATATTTAACTGTCACTCGCCCTGATCTTTCCTTTTCAGTCAATCAGTTATGTCAACACTTGCATGCTCCTACAGTTTCACACTAGGAACAATTAAAAAGAGTTTTGAGGTATGTTAAAGGAATTGTTACTTTTGGTTTACGAGTCAGAAAGTCATCTTGAAGGAAAATTCATTCATTCTCTGATTCTGACTGGGCTGGCTGTCTGGAGGACCGAAAATCTACAAGTGGCTTTGCTGTGTTTCTTGGCTCTAATCTTGTATCTTGGGTCTGCAAGAAACAAAGAACTGTGGCTAGATCTTCTACTGAGGCTGAATATAAAGCTCTAGCAGATGTTTGTGCTGAAGTAACTTGGATCGTCACTACTGCGTGAGATCAAAGTTCCAGGTATCTCTATCCCTAAACTATTGTGTGATAATCTTGGTGCTACTTATATGTGTGCAAATCCCATCTTCCATGCTCGTACCAAGCACGTTGAGATAGATTATCACTTTGTTCGAGATAAAGTTGTTGTTGGTGATATTCAAGTCAATTTCATCTCAACAAAAATCAACTTGCAGATATATTTACAAAAGCTTTGCCTTGTCCTAGATTTTATTTTGTTAGAGACAAGCTACTGGTTACTAACATACCATGTGCTTGAGGGGGAGTATTAGGACTTATGTATTTGAGTCACATTACAATTCCTTATCCTAACTCCCTATGATTCCTACTCCTTATCCTAGTCAGTGGCGGATCCAAAAATATTCTTCAATGGGGGCAAAATATTAAAACTAACGAGCGTGATATTTTTAAAAAATGAATTCCAGGTATCTCTGTCCCTAAACTATTGTGTGATAATCTTGGTGCTACTTATATGTGTGCAAATCCCATCTTCCATGCTCGTACCAAGCACGTTGAGATAGATTATCACTTTGTTCGAGATAAAGTTGCTGTTGGTGATAATCAAGTCAATTTCATCTCAACAAAAATCAACTTGCAGACATATTTACAAAAGCTTTGCCTTGTCCTAGATTTTATTTTGTTAGAGACAAGCAAACTTGCAGATATATTTACATGGTACTAACATACCATGTGCTTGAGGGGGGGTATTAGGACTTATTATTTGAGTCACATTACGATTCCTTATCCTAACTCCCTATGATTCCTACTCCTTATCCTAGTCAGTGGCGGATCCAGAAAAATTCTTCAATGGGGGAAAAATATTAAAACTAACGAGCGCGATATTTTTAAAAAAATGAAACACTTAGAAACCAAGTCATAAATATTGTTGACTAGAGATGAAAAATTAAAATACATCAAGATAAAAAAATATTTAAAATAAAATATAAAACATAATTAATTAGATAAAATAGTTTGAATGAAAAACACATTTACATATATATATAACAAAATTCAACACTGCAGGTTCGAACCATGGACCATAATGTATTACACAAATGGTTTTGCCATCTAAACCAAAGCAACTTTTGGTTAATGTTTGGTATATATACTATATATTGGGTGGGTGAGTGGGGGCAGCAGCCCCCACTGCCCCCATTGTGGCTCCGCCACTGATCCTAGTCTTATGATTATTCTTGTATATATTCTCCAGTCTGTATAGTTATTAAACAGTTCATTCAATATAATGTTATACAATTCTCATATCCTCTGTACCACCTCAAATGCACTACCACCCGCCATGACCACAACATCTACAAACAAGCCTACAAGACCTAGTTGGCATTGCTCCCCCAGAATTAGTATCGATTAACACGCCAACCGTAAAAACTGGAAAAAGCTTACGAATGGAAATGCAACCAAAGAAGAAAAAACCCAAAGAGTGCATGAATGGAAATTGAATAGAATTGAATAATGATGTTGCAATGTACTGGAGATAAGAACATAAATAGAATTGGGGAAAAGGAAGATTTAGGGTTAGGGATGAGTGAGAGAGAAGCAGAAAGAAGAAATTGAGTCTGTATTGCATAAGAAAACATCAAATCCAAGGCAAGTAAAAATATATCCAGCTCTAACAACAATCCATATTCTATCGGCTAAGGAATGGGAATTTGCTAGACAACGACTACAGGTTTCCATCCAAATGGTGTCGTCTGATCCTAATCTCCCAACCGCTCCAACGGCTAGTGCAAAACGGCGTCGTGTGGTTTATTTTGCAACGGCTCTCAACCGTTTATTCAAACGCTGTCGTTTTGTGCTTCTCCCCTCTTCCCAGTTTCCTTCTGCCTTCCCTTCACTTTCATTGCTACTCTTCTTACTCAATCCTTCATTATCCCATTAATGGAACCTTCCAAGGTCGTTGCAGTACTCCCCCCCACAAGAAATCCTTGTCCCCAAGGATCAAAGGAGGGGTATTGACTCTTTAGATGATAGTAATCCTCCCAAGTAGCCTCCTCAGGAGGCAGATTAGCCCACTGTATCAATAATTCAGTGGCTGCTTGGTTGTTTTTTTTAACCAGCCGTTTCCCAACACAGCCACAGGGCCAGCTAACACCTGACCATCTGGACCTACTGCAGGGGGACTGTTTTGGGCAATGATGCTATCTCCTATTCGTTTCTTAAGCTGGGAAATGTGGAACACATGATGAAGCTGAGCATCAGGAGGGAGTAACAGTTTGTAAGCAACCTTACCCACTTTGCTTATCACCTTGTAGGGCCCATAATACTTAGAAGAGAGCTTCAGGTTGCCCCTTACAGCCAGTGTGACTTGTCTATAGGGTTGAATTTTAAGAAACACCCAGTCACCAACTTCCAGAGTCCTTTCAGTCCTCCCCTTATCAGCCTGGACTTTCATTCTGTTCTGGGCCTGTTGAAGATTCTCCTTAAGAGATGACAAAACTGCACCCCTGGCAGCCATCCAGTTAGTGTCTCCCCAAGAGGGGTTGTTGCTGAAAGCCAGTAGAGGTGGGGTATATCCATACAAAGCTTGGAATGGGGTACATTTAAGTGAAGAGTGGTAATTAGTATTGTACCACCACTCAGCCAAATGCAACCATTCCTCCCAATGTTTGGGCCTTTGGAACACCATACACCTCAAGTATCCTTTAAGACATTGATTCACCTTCTCTGTTTGACTATCAGATTGGGGGTGGTAAGCAGTAGAAAGGCTTAATTGCACCTGCATGTTTTTAAACAATCCTTGCCAGAATTTACTAGTGAATATCTTGTCCCTGTCAGAGACAATATCCCTGGGTAACCTATGTAGTTTGTATATATTCTCCATGAACACCATAGCAACTGACTCAGCAGTATAGGGGTGAGAGAGAGCAATGAAGTGTGCATACTTAGTCAGTCTATCGACTACAAATAAAATGGCCTCTTTGTTGTTGGACTTAGGCAGTCCTTCCACAAAGTCCATGGAGATGCTTTGCCAGGCTTCTCCAGGTATTTCCAAAGGTTGTAACAGCCCAGGGCTGGCAACATGTTCATATTTACACCTTTGGCAAACCTCACACCTTCTAACCAACTCCAAAACATCAGATTTCATCCCCTTCCAATAGAACAAGCTCTTCAATCTTTGATAAGTCCCATTCTAGCCAGCATGGCCCCAAATTGCAGACACATGTAGTTTAAGCATGAGATCCCTTCTTAGGCTCCCTGAGGATCCCACATATAACCTATCCTTGTATCTGATCATTCCCCCTGAAACAGAAATCCTAGGATCATTGACAGGAACAATTAGTGCAGAAGTTAGGTTCTCAGTGGCCCAAACATCCCCATCATAGCTCTTGGATATTTCCTCCATCCAAAGTGGTTGCACAGCTGAGATGGCATTGTATTCTACCTCAGAACTAACATCCCTTCTTGATAGTGCATCTGCAGCTATGTTATCAGTGCCCTTTTTATATTGTATGGTATAATCCAGACCTAGTAATTTAGTAAGGCCCTTCTGTTGCAGTGTACTAGTGATCTTTTGCCCCAGAAGAAACTGCAAGCTATGATGGTCTGTTTTGATAACAAAGTGTCTCACCAATAGGTATGGCCTCCATTTATCCACTGCATTGAGAATAGATAAGAATTCTTTTTCATAGATGGATAGCCCCAAATGTCTAACCCCAAATGCCTTGCTAAAAAATGCAATGGGCCTCTTTTCTTGAATTAGAACTGCCCCCATACCATTATAGCTAGCATCAGCCTCTACTACAAATTCTTTATGAAAATCTGGAAGAGCTAGTACTAGGGGATTACATAAAGCCTTCTTAAGTGCCTCAAAGGCTTGCATAGACTCCGTGCTCCAATGAAATGCATCCTTCTTTAACATGTCAGTCAAGGGCTTACTGATGATCCCATAGCCTTTGATGAATCTTCTATAATACCCAGCCAGCCCAAGAAACCCTCTCAATGCTTTGATGGACAAGGGCGTAGGCCAAGCAGCAACTGCATCCAACTTAGATGGATCTGTCTGTAGACCATCCTTAGAGATGATATGGCCCAAGTATTCTACTTGATTTTCTGCAAATGAACACTTACTCAGTTTAGCATACAGTGAGTGTTGTTTCATGATGCTCAATACTTCTCTTAAGTGAATCCAGTGGTCCTCCCTGGTCAGGCTGTAAATGAGGATATCATCAAAGAAGACCAACACTGACTTCCTGATCAGGGGCTTAAATACCAGGTTCATGAGTGATTGAAAAGTTGCAGGGCCATTAGTCAGCCCAAAGGGCATGACTTTAAACTCATACAATCCCTGATGAGTTCTAAAGGTTGTCTTAAATTTTTCCCCCTCCTTCATTCTTATCTGATGGTAACCAGCCCTTAAATCCAACATGGAGAAGTAGGTTGCACCAGCTAGTTCTGAGAATAATTCTTCCACTAGTGGGATTGGAAACTTATTCTTGATGGTGATGATGTTGAGAGCTCTATAGTCAATGCAGAATCTCCATGAGTTATCCTTTTTGGGAACTAGTAGCACAGGTGAGGCAAAGCATGAGGAACTAGGAGTGATAATTCCAGCTGTCAACATCTCCTCTACCATTCTCTCAATGGTATTTTTTTTGTCAAAGGAGTATCTATATGGACCAATATTGGTGGGTTTGGCTCCTGGAATCAGGGGAATGGTGTGGTTAAGGGACCTTTTGGGAGGTAGGATGTTAGGCTCATCAAACAGTCCCTGAAACTCCACTAGCAGTTGTGATAGTTCAGGATGTTTGGTTTGGGGAATTTGGTTGTTTTTATGTGGAGGTATTTGGGCTTGGGTGAGGTTAAGTGAGGGAGGTTCTGTCATTCTTGTGGAAGGTATTTCACTGCATTGTACCAAAAACCCATGCACTCCTTCTTTATGCCATTTTTTGATCTGTTTTTCAGTAGCTGCTTTCAACAGTACTTTCTTGGTTAGTCCCCTAAGCAGCACCTTTCTTCCCTCCTTATGGAAGGAGATACCAGGGGGCCTGGTATGTAGTTGAATGGGGGCATATTGATCCACCCAATCCATCCCTAACACCATGTCACACTCACCCAACTTGAGAAGTCTAAAGTCCTTCACAAAGCACTCCTGCTGTATTTGCCAGCCTAGCCCTTGAGAAACAGCATCACTTACAACTCTTTCACCATTGGCTACTGTCACCACTAAGGGATTTGCCTTCTCTGGTTCTCTTCTCAATTGGCACATGATTTTGGGATCCAAGAAACTGTGGGTACTTCCACTATCCACTAAGATGACCACTGGTTGTTTTTGGATGTGCCCTAACAGCTTGAGGGTGTTCATTCCTTCACCTCCCACTACAGCACATAGAGACACCTTTGCTTCTTCCTGCCTTAATTCCTCCTCCACCTGAGCTAGGCTCTCAGTAGTCACTCCTTCCTCCTGATCTTCTAAGAGGTTAAAAGTGGGTCCTCTACATTTGTGCCCTGGTTGCCAGGGATCAAAGCATTTCAAACACCTCTTCTGATCCCTGAGTTAGTTTCTGAATTGGTTAATGTCTGGATGTTTGGAGGCTGTGGTTGGGTGATTTGAGTGAAGGTTCAGGGTTCTGGTAACTGGAGGAGTTCTGGTATTCCAAGCAGGGGCCTTAGTGCTATCACTGGTCCTTAGGCCCTTTTCATTTTGCCTTGCTAACCATATAGCATCATCCAATCCCCTTGGCCTGGCAGTTCTGACAAAACATCTCAAAATGTGTCTCAATCTAGCAACATAGTTCTCTAGAAAGTAAGTCTCAGTGAGTGTAGGGTGTGCCTGTTGCAGCATACTCTTGAAGCCCTCATACTCATCAGTATAATCATCAATCGTACCTACTTGCTTGAAAGAGGCAAAATCCTCCATCAAGGACACCCCACTATCCCCAAATCGTTTACACAAAGCATCAGAAAAAGCAAGCCATTGAAACCCCCCTCTCAGGCTATGCACATAACTCTCAAACCAAATTCCCACCCTTCCAGTCAAGTGAATGTACAATAGATTAACAATTTCCTGCCGGGGTACGTGAGAGAGTATGAAGAACTTTTCACACCACACGATCCATTGCTTGGGATAGGAGTAATCAAAAGGAGGAAACTCACTTTTGTACCTTAGGAGGAACTCCTGAGTCTGTCCAACCGTTGGTCTCACTCCAGCTCTTTGAGTCCAGTCTCTTCTGGTCAGATCTCCTAGCCCCAGTCCTAGAGGGGGCTCCTCATTAGTATCTCGCCCTTCATCCTCATCAGTTTCCTGTAAAGGGGCTTTATCAAGTCTACCCCTAGGCTCCTGCTCCATAGCTTCCGGAAATTGCCCTTGAACGGATGACTGTCCGGGGGAAACTCCAAGGATGGGGGGGGGGGGGGGGGGGTGCTGGTCGATTCAGTCTCAGGAGCTGGAGCAGCTCATTCTTCAGGGCAGTGATGGAGTCCTGCGTCTCTTGTGATCGAGTATCAATTTTGCTACTCAGTTCTATGACTGTAGCTTCTAGCTTTTTGATACGATCATCCATTGTTGGGCTCTGATACCAACTGCAATGTACTGGAGATAAGAACAGAAATAGAATTGGGGAAAAGGAAGGTTTAGGGTTAGGGATGAGTGAGAGAGAAGAAGAAAGAAGAAATTGAGTCTGTATTGCATAAGAAAACATCAAATCCAAGGCAAGTAAAAATATATCCAGCTCTAACAACAATCCTTATTCTATCAGCTAAGGAATGGGAATTTGCAAGACAACGACTACAGGTTTCCATCCAAACAGTGTCGTCTGATCCTAATCTCCCAACCGCTCCAACGGCTAGTGCAAAACGGCGTCGTGTGGTTTATTTTGCAACAGCTCTCAACCATTTATTCAAACGCTGTCGTTTTGTGCTTCTCCCCTCTTCCCAGTTTTCTTCTGCCTTCACTTCACTTTCATTGCTACTCTTCTTCCTCAATCCTCCATTATCCCATTAATGGAACCTTCCAAGGTCGTTGCAGATGTTTTTCCCTAATTTGTTGCTGATAGTAATAAAAGGATGACTAAAATACCCCCAAAATATAAACTTAACAAATCTTTAAAAAATAAAAAGTAAACGGATGGTAATAATAATAATAATAATAATAATAATAATAATAATAATAATAATAATAATAATAATAATAATAATAATAATAAACGAATGGTAATTAAAATGCACAATTACTAACATTTTAAGATAAATATACCAGTGTTAAATGCACTGCATTCAGACAGAAAATGCACAATTATTACGGTTAGAGCTGCACGCATTACACTGTAAGGCAGACACAAAAACACTAAAAATGGATGCTAGTGATACGTATTTAGGTGCTCTCTATAGGTGAAAGGGGAAAGCCTGTATGAGGACCTATCCTAAGATGATGACACGATGATTAATCTAGACCATTAAATCAGACTATGCACAACTACAAATCATACAGATTAAGGAAACAAATCCTATTAAAATATTAGAAAATAAACACTTAGAACACTATACTATGCACTTTTTGACAACAATGCATTCCTGAATAATTTTTTAAAATGAATGAAAATGTTAAATATTAATTTTAAATAGTAAATGTTATACCCTTAGCCGTAAAAGTGAATCGCAAAACCAAATAAAAGAAACAATTTAATCATAAACTCTAAAATTCAAATTCTAAGTGTAATGTGCTTTAACTTTTTTTCAAGTCCATTTTTTAAAATCCTACACTTTGTTAATATATTAAATGTGTATTTTGTAACAACTAAATGTGTTTTTCAGAAAAACTTTGAGAAGTGCGTATTTTTGTGTTCTAGATTGCATAGTAAAGTTGGTGATAATTACAAAAATGTCACCATATTTGTTTTTGTTTAAATATGATATAATCCGGTTCGATATTTCTAGATGTTAAACTAAAGGGGGTGCATTCAATCATGACTTTCGTAGAGTTTTAAAGACTTTTAAAATGATAGATTTTAATAAACTTTGATTGACTTTCATAGAGTCGTTCAAAACTTTTTAAAACATTATAAAACTCTATAAAAGTCTATATAAAAAAATATTCATAGACTTTTATCAACTTTTTTATTTTAAAAAGTCTACAAAAGTCATTGAAATTATAACATCCTTACAAACTTTCAATAACTTTGATTCTTATCATTTATATAATTTTCTTACAAAACATATATAATATATCATAAAATTCTTTCTATTATATAGGTTTTCACCCACATCAGCATTCCCAACATTATTATTTTTATCCCTAATATGATGAGACTTATATGCTAATTACTTATATATATTATTAGTAAACGTAAAAAAAAATTATTTCATTAGAAATTCATAACAATATTAAACAATAAAATTTATAATAAAAGAATTGATCAAATAAAGTATTTTAAAATATAATTACAAGTTGCATAAAATAAAAAAATAAAAATCTAATATTAATAATATATTTAAAAAATTATACTTTTATTGATAGGCATTATTCAAAGAAATATTATTTGCAATAGTAATTTGAGACTGTGAATTACAATAAGGTGTTACTGTTTGCAACCCCAAATCGTTGTTGCGAACAGTAATTCGGTATTCGTAGTAATATGTTGTTAAATATATATATATATATATATATATATATATATATATATATATATATATATATTACGAATATAAACATAAAAAGAATAAAAATCAAAATATATAAGTATTTATATGAATATTATGAAACATATACTAAAATTTGACGATAAAAAATTTGCTTTGTTCATGTATTTAGAGAGAATTAAACAAAGTTAGGGATAAAAAAATTCATAGAAAAAATAAAAATCAATATAAACAAGCAATAACGAAGTAAAAATCATATTAATTCGAATTTTTAGATGAATATTGTAAAGTGTAGGAGAGAGAAAAATTGATAGAGTTTAGGTATGAGGAAAATATAGGATAATGAAGAAAAAAATACTTTTTTTTTTTGAATTTAGATAGGTTTATAAAGTTTAAATAGGGAAAAAAAATAGAGTTTAAATAGAGAGAGAAAACATTCAACGTTGTTAGAAAGAAAATTTTGAAATCTTGGGGTTGATGGTTGGATTTCAACTATTTATATTTGAGAAGGAAAAGCCTTCAAAAGTCTTAAAATTAAAAAATCAACAAAAGTTCATAACTTTTTGAATACCACATGACTTTTAAAGACTCTTTAAAAGTCTTAATCGAATACCACAAGACTTTTAAAGTGTTAGTGTTTTTAATTGTTCAAAAACCCCATCTTATAATTGGCAATATTATTATGGCATACTAAGATAGGTTTAGAATTTGTCCGTCCAGCTCTACAGATGACTGATCATTCAGAAGCAACAATAGAAGGACTGACACTAAAGATCTGATTTAGGAAGCTGATTTCTATAAGGCTGTACGCGGTTTAAGCAGACAAGTTTGGAAAGAAGATCAGCGTATATTTTCTGGAAAGGTATGGACCTAATCTTCAGAGATTACATTCCTCATTTATAGTCCTACCTTCTACATTCAAAGTTATCTATGGAGAGTGTTTATTGATGGATCTATAAGTACTCTTATTCGACGAGAATTAGGGTTGCGCCGAAAGTAAGACGAAACACTCCATATCTGCTATATGAGACGAGTTCTTTGATTGTCATGCATTTTCTTAATACAACTTGTTCATGGTGATTAAGATGATGAACTTGAGAAGAATCACTGCTACTTAAACGAAAGGACACTGTGATCACACAGTTGTGGGAACAACTGCTTAGAGCGTCTTTGAAGTGGACTGCATCAGAGTGGGCTCTCCAAGTGAAGGGATTTCATTGGGCTTCTGTATGCATGGCTCTCCATCTTCAACAATCCACTAAACCTATGTAGACTGGGTTTGTACCTTGTGTGGGGCACTTGGGTAAGATTATTGTATATCTACCTTTGTACATTGGATTATGTTTTAGTGAATTGGACGCCTATGTGATCGTCCCCGAGACGTAGATACACACTGTATCGAACTGGGTAAACATTTTGTGTCTTTGACTCTGTGCTGTTATCTTCTCATTAATCTCCTCTATGATTTATCATTACTGACTGACTTCATCGCTGAATCAGTCGGTATACTTTGTCAGTTGATTAGTCCAGTTAATCTATTTATAAAAAGAGGAAATGCAAAATTACATGTGGTATCAGAGCTTTTAAGTCTACATAGTGACTTGATCCATACGGGCTGTTTTGTTTAGTTTTGCATTGTTCTCTGTCTTTTGGAAGTGCCTCTATGTGTGTTTGTTGGCTGGTTGTTTGTATTTAGGATGGATGCGAGTATGAAACCACCAGAACTAGATGGTCACAACTACTCTTTCTGGAAGGCTCGCATGGAGATATATCTCCAAGCACAAGGTACCAGGGTGTATCGTACTGTCCTAACTGGGTGGAGCCGTCCAACTATTCAGAATGCGGATGGAACCACGGAAGATAAATCCATGGAGACTTGGACTAACGATGAAATGAATGCTTCTGATCTAAACAACAAAGCTTTGAACTCGATTGTAGGATCTCTGCATGAATCTGTTTTCACTCTGGTCACAGGGGTAAAAGAAGCTAAATAGGTATGGGAGATTCTTGAAACCAGATTTGAAGGAACTAGTGATGTCAAGCAGTCAAAGCTGCAAATGGTTCTGTCAGAATTCGAAGCCCTTAGAATGAATGAAGAGGAAACCATTTCAATCGTCCACAGTAGGGTTCAGAATCTGATGAACCGAGCCTCAATTCTTGGTGAACCTTTCACTGATGAGAGAGTAGTCAAAAAGATCCTTCGATCTTTGCCTAAGCGCTTCCGGATGAAAGTTACTGCTATTCAAGAACACACAGGTTGGGAAAAGAAGACAGTCGAAGAACTTATGGGAAGCTTACACACATATGAACTGGAAGTTCTTGCTGATGATGATCTTGCATGCAACAGAAAAGGAAATTCAGTGGCGTTTGTGGCTGAGGTTGATCGAGAATCTGACACAGACGACATAGATGATGAAACCTTGGCACTTCTAACCAAGAATTTCAAGAAAATATTAAAAGGTTTCAACAGAAAGAGTCAAGGTCAGCCCACCAGGACACAATACAAAGGCAATAACTCCTCATATCAGAAAGCCGAAACAACTCCCTTTTCACAGAACAATCAATCTCAGACTGGTCGAACAAGACAGAACAGAAATAGTTCCACAGATACAGGGAAGTCCCTCAACCGGTCAGTGCAGTGTAGAGAATGTGAAGGGTTTGGACACATACAGGCTGAATGTGCAACGTATCTCAAGAGGAAAAAGGCTATGT